TCTTTGCCATTTCACAGTACTTATTGGACACTGTACTATTTCTCTCACACAAATGTTTTAAAAGCATATGAAATTGCTTTTTATTTGAATTTATATTTATATTTATGTGCTGCCATGTCTTCTTGCTGCCATTCTACCCTGTTTTTTGAGGTGGAAGCCTCCCCCGCCCTCTAAAGCAGGAAAATACTGCCATGTACGTAGGAGTGAGCATGTCCCTTATTTATGTGTGTAAAACTTCACATGGCAGAAACAGCAGTTACTCTTTCTTGGCAGAGACCTTCCCATCTGCAGCATTCAGCTGTAAATACAAAGGATTCAGTCACTTCACAAGCAGTTTATATCCTGAAGAAACCATTTGGCAAGCCTTGTCAAACTTCGCGTGACAACAGCCTTTTGGGCTTTCACTGCAAATTTGGCACCCTGTGGTAACATTGTTCCCAGCTTTTTAAACTTTTTGCTAAGTTAGTTTGGCAGTATGTGCAAATGGATGGGGGTGGAGAAGGAAAAGAGACAAGAATTATAGGCAATTTCACATAGTATATGTGGAAATAATATATCTGTGTCAACAAACTCTCCAGCCACAAAATTAATAGCATAAATGAATTGACACCAAATTTAGGACATTGTCAGAAAAAGTACTTTCCACGAACAAACAGATTAATACGGATTACAAGGTTCCAGCGGAGAGTGAAGCAAAGAGCCACTGGCACCCACGTGTAGAAGTTCCTAATTCTTCCTTTAAAAAAACAACAGTTTTGTGATTTGGCATGTTCTCTTCAGCCTTTGCTTAATGACCCTGGGGAATAATTGCATAATAAAATATCACTGGGCTAATTTTCTATGATTAGACATGTTTCCAGTTAAAACCATTTTGAGGCTGAAGTTAGGGATAAAATAATAGAGGATTGTTAAATGTGGATTCCTACCTTTTAAATTCATATTTTCAAAGGCCCAGTAGCTATTTCCATGAAGGATTCAGACTTTGTACCCAGACATTCTGAGAAGTATTGTGGTATGCTAAAAAGTGTCTGTGAAGCATGACAAGGGTCATTAGTGTCAGGCGCAGTTATGTTCCTTCCATCTGCAAACTCACACAAGCTCCCCTTGATACAGCTTACAGCTGGATTTTCCCTAGCTTGCTCTCTTCGGTCGCATTTGATAAATGTGAAAGTATAGTGAAATATTTATGTAAGCTCAGAACAGATAGATGGCTTTTGGTGGTGGTGGATATTTATGTGATGAGATAAGATTAACTTCTTGTTTATAAATTGTTGACTTCTGTCTAGCAACTATTTTCCCCAGTAATTTCAATAGTATTAAAGGTAATACTTGAAATAGTAATTTTAGTATAGCTTAGCACACAAGTGTTCTCTTCTTATAAAAGACAGCAGCAACATTATTTTTCACTGCTGTTGCTTTAAAAGAATGCAAATCAACCCACAGTTTAGGAATTAACCCTAGTATCTCTTCAATAAAATGTAGATATATTTTTGTTTTGTGTATAGTTTTGTTGCAGAACTCTGAATGTTGCAAGAACTGATTAAAAGCTAAAATCAGAAGGTAATCAAAATTTTATTCAATATATTTGATTCAGGACAAATTGACATAACCGTTCCCACCCAATATCCAATATAGCAATATAGAAGGGATCTATAATATTAACAGGAAGAATGAATTTGAGTAACAATGAATTTGTCTTGAAATTGTAAAGTTTATAGTCTGTGATTTTTCTTTTTATTTGTTGAACCGTTTACAATTCATCTTTGGAATGGAAGCTTACCTCATTTGTTCTTATACAAACTGTTCGTAGTTAGCCAAGTTTTAAAAAGTTATTAGACAAGCAGCATTTTTAGATTTACAATTAATTGTGCATTCTTTAACCTATGTCAAAATGAACTTTTATTTCAAAAAAAAAAAAAGGGACTGGGAGGAGGAGACCGTTGGAACCCCTGAATAGGAGGAATCTGACCTTTTGAACTGTGAGGAGGCTATGTCAGAAGTAAAGGCATTGCCTTCCCACACTCAAAGGAGAAACGGGCATTGATCATCATGAGCAGTACTGAGTTGACTGACCTCCAGGGAACAACTAAAAACTACTTTGCACAGCAACAGTGTAGTTTCTACCCAAGTCTGAAATTCAGATAATGAATCATTTAGGTCCTTTGATTGAAACGGAATGCGGACTCTCAGTCACTTCCTATGCATTTGTTTCATAGCTTGTGCTTTTAAACTCTCAAGCACAAAGATCAAATGCAACCAAGCTCACTTTTGTGAGCAGAAGTTCCGATTGTGTGTGAGATGTATGTTTCTAGTGTTGCCTACTCCCACTGTGTTCTCTGTAGCTGCAGTTCCATGTTGCAGATTGTCCTGCTGTGAAGGGTCCTCTGATCCTTTACGATGGTTTTTAGGGACTCCAAAGGATTGGGTATGCTAGTGGATAGGACAGTTTTACCTACCCCATGAGAGTGGATGTGTCTGAGCATTGTTGTTTTTTCTAATACATGTTGGAATGGGTGAATTTGGATTCAAGCCAAGTTGTATATTTGAACTGTGTCTGCCCTGTTAAATATAGTAAGCTTAACAAAAGGAAATCCTGAGAAGTCATTAAACTAAAAAGCTAAAGAACTAATATGAGTTCCACAGTGCTTAAGTACTGTTTCCGGTCAAAAGTTATTTTTATTCATGTAGCATCAGCAGGTTTAGAAAGAAAACCCATAAATTGCTGCCTTCCTGGAGGAAATATTTTGTACATTTAGAAATGCAATGCATTTCAGAATTTCAGTTAGGCAATGGAAGAATGACAACAGCATTAGCCTTGCTATAAATCTGACCTATCTCTGTCCCAGGTATGATCACAATGCAGTGTTGATTGATTCATGTCCAGAAGATGTGTACTCTGGTATGCTGGGTAAGATAAGAGTGTCTGGCGAAGGAAGAAAGATAGTGTAAAGTTAAATGGCAGACAAGTTGATATACATAGTGCATAGAAAAGGCCTAAATATACATTTTGTACCTTCTGGGATTTGTTCTTCAAGTTTAATAATATGGGTGGTGGTGGTTAGTAGCTACTTGTCATTGTTGAGCAGAAAGTTTCTGGTTCAAATCTCATTTGGGTTATATTTATTTATTTATTTGGATTTATATCCTGCCTTCCTTCTAAAATGGGATTCATTAACTGATTGGTTTTAGGGAGAATGCTCATCTCACAGTCTTTCCCTGCACAATTTTTATTATGAGACAAACACTGGATTACAGAAGAGCAGAGAAAATTCTTACCTCGATTTGAATGTAAGATTTGTTAGGATCTATCTATCTATCTACATACATGTTACAGTGTGTTCACATTACTCTGAGTCATATTTACATTCTGGATGCTGATAAAGATCAAATAAATTTGCCTTCTAGCAATCAGATTTTAAACTGGGAGATAAGCTTTTCCATTTATTTTCCAACCAGGATTTTTTTTTTTTAAAAAAAGTGCACTTTAACTCTGTGACTGTTCAGCCATTCAATAAAGTTTGTTTAAAAAATGCTTGGATATGCAGAAGCAGAAA